AAAGCCACCCTGACAGGTTCCATTTGAAGCACATGGCCCCTGAGATGGATAAAGGTGTTAGCAGAAGCTTCTAGACCTCCCCAGCTGTCTCCGAGTTGCATGAAAAGGTGCCAAGAGCAAAAAGTCTGGCTTTTTGTGCTCTGAGGAATCAAATGCCTCAAATTCTGGCCTCGTGACTGAGAAGATAACCCATACTTTTCTCTGTGAGCAAAGTGTGAGCAGTGTGAGCAAGCTGTGTTGAAACGTTTCAAGAACCTTGAAGACATTGTTCATCTTAATCCAGTGTTAACTTCAAAGTTTATTTTTTGTTATATGAATGATGTCCTGTCTACTGAAATGCAATCATTTCAGCATTTAGGGCCCTTGGTTTATTGGCTTCAGGAAAAAGAAATCTCTGACCTCCCAGAGCAGTGTGCGTGCCTCTACCTGATATGATTGTTCCTTCCATTGTCTTTCTAATGTTCAATAGATATCCCTAGTGATAAGGAGAATTAATTGACCGAGGCTAGTCTATTCATAAGGGAATAAAACTTGGAGCTATAGATATATAGGTGTATCTATCTATCTTTTCTGGGTATATTAATTGTATTAAATAATTGGTGGTGTTGTGGTATTCTCATGCATATGTGCATGGATATATGGTTATTTGAATGAATTTATGCCCCCACTCCACACCTTAATCCCCATTTTCCCTCCATTGGTGTCTTTCCTATTCCCTGAGCCTCTATCTCCCTTTCATGTCTTTTATAAAGATTTATTTATAAGATCCCACATATGAGAGAAAACGTGCTGCTTGTCTTCCTTAGTTTGGCTTATTTTGCTAAATATGATGATTTCCTTAAGATGATATGATTTGTTCTTCATGGATGGATACTCCATAGTGTACTTATACATTATATATTCATTTATTTGCTTATTCTGTATTCTTCTGCCTCTCATGACCCCAAAGTAGACTATATGTAGTAAGCCGAAGGGAAGAGATTTTATTTGATTGCTTGTTGCAGTCTGGATTCTTAGACACAGAAGGCAGTCAAAAAAAAAAATTTTTTTTTTAAAATGAATCCAGGTGGCAGTAGCTCATGCCTGAAATCCTAGCTACTTAGGAAGCCAAGATCTGAGGATCATGGTTGAAAGAGAGCCTGGGCAGGAAAGTCTGTGAAGCTCTTATCTCCAATTAACTACCAAAAAAATCCCACAAGTGGAGCTGTAGCTCATGCGGTATAGTGCCATCTTGAGCACTACGCTCAGGGACAGCATCCAGGCCCTAGGGGAAGCCTCAGGACTGACACAGAATAAAATAAAACTACTAAACTAAAATGTGAGGGATCTTCCTTTTGCTAGGCAGTAACACTCTGACTCTCTACTACAATCCATCCTTATTTCTTCTCTGGGACAATAGCAGAGCGAAAGAAAGGGGAGGGTGCTCTCCAGGTTAGGATCAACACAGGAGCAGTCTGCGGATGATAAGGTCAACAGCTGCCAGCGGAGTGCTTGTCCTCAGAGACGGCCACATGGAGGCATTTGATATCAGTCTCAACTGACAACAGCATTTTGATCTCAAGTTACTCTTTCTGTCTGAGAACCTGCTATTCTTCCTCGGTCAATAGCACATTTCATTCATCAGGGCTTGGCAGTCTTTTCAGTCAGGGCTTTCCAAATGGCATTGTTTCTTTAATTAAATCGATTAATTACAGCATCAGAAGAATAGTCCAATATGGCGTCTTTAAAAATGCAAAGTCTGGAAACTTTACAGAAGGAATAGAATTCAGGGTCCTCCAGTTAAGCCAGGAAAGCAAACTTTCTGGGGTTTGAGGGTGTACGGGGTGGGTGCTGCTGGTCATAACATCACCCATTTGGTAGAATTGGTTGGAAGAGGAAAAGAATTGGATACTTCTTAGGGTCACAAATTTCTATTGTCATCTTATTCCAGAGCTATAGAGAGGTTTAAAGAAGATAGAATATGTGACAACAATAATTAAACAGGTTTTTTCTTCTTTGTAGTTTATGTTTTTTGACTTTGGGGGTTAGATAAGATCTAGCTATCTTTGAAAAATCACTTCCCAGTAAGTATGAGATCCTGACTTCAAACCCCAGTACTGCCAAAATCACACAGGAGAAACTTTGCCCACTCTATTCCCTGAACAGGCTTAGAAAATCAGCTTAGAGAATGTGTGTGTGTGTGTGTGTGTGTGTGTGTGTGATTGCAGATTGAACTCAGAGCACTTGCCAAGTTGTCTACCACTCCAGCAACCCCTATAATTTTTGCATTTAGTCTGTTTTTCAGGTAGGATCTCGCCTAGAATTCTGCCTCCTATCATCACCTCTTAAGTATCTGAGCTTACAGGTAAGTACTACCATGCCAAACCTTTGGAAACTTTAGGGTATGATACCATGGTACCATGTTTGTTTGTTGATTTGGGGTTTTTTTTTGGGAGGCTTTTTTTTGCCAGTCATGGGGGACTGAACTCTAGGCCTGGGCACTATCCCTGAGTTCTTCAGCTCAAGGCTAGTGCTCTACCACTTGAGCCACAGTACCACTCCAGCTTTTTCTGCTTTTTCGGTGCTGAGGAATCAAACCAGAGCCTCATGCATGCAAGGCAAGCACTCTACCACTGAGCCAACTTCCCAGCCCCTGTATGTTGATGTTTTTTAAGAAGATAGTGATTGTGGTATTTAAGCAGAACTACTAAACAGGAAGTCTTGTTTTGGGTGGCATATTCATTTGTGATGCCTAGGGCTGAGTTACAAATTTTATGGTGATTTTGTCAGTGTCTTTTGTCTAAGCAGTGAATGGCAGATTTGAAGTCTGTACGGGACTAACTTTCCTTGAACTTCAGCCATAATTTAGACTATTAGGAAAGTATGAACAGAGGGAGCTCTTTGTGACGGGTGCCTTAGATCTTTTGTCACAATTTATATATTTACATGGAAAATACTTTGCTATAATGAGCTAAGCCACTAGCCAAGACATTCTGAGGATGCCAACTGTATGTCACCCTTCTTATCCACTGTACTTAAGTGAGTGAAGACTTTACAAGATGACTTTACATTACAAGTGAAGACATTACAAGATGATGATAATTATTAAAACAGCAAGAAGAAACAAGATGAAGGGGGGGAGCAAGAAAGGAAAGGGGGAGGTGAAGAGGAAAAAAGACAAAAAGCAAAAGTGGGAAAATGCCACCACAAAGAATTCAAACCCAAAGTAGTGCTGAAATGATGTTGTATATTGATATGACAGCCATATCTGAATCTCTTTTGACTTAGGATGTTTACAGGACAGGAACAAAGGCCCAGAGTAGGTCCTAGATTTGCCCATTATGACATAACCTAACATCTTCCGCTACCTGGCAAAAAAGATTTAAGGATGAACCTGGAATTAGAGTTGCTAAGTAGTGCAAAGAGTCAATCCTATCTGACAAGGGTAGGGTCCTGATGTAACTCCAGGGTCATTGTAAGTGGAAATATTAGAGGTGAGGTGGAGAATAAAGTCAGTATTATGTGAGAAAGATTCAATCCATCATTCCTGGTTTTGAAGATGGAGAAAGAGAGCCACAGGCCAACCCAGGCAGCTTCTAGAAGGTAGAAAAGGCAAGAAAACAGATTCTCCCAAATAATGGCTGTGCTAGCCCTCAATTTCAGCCTAATGAGACATGTTTCAGAACTCTCCACCCTAGGATAGTAAGTTGGTTATAATTTGTACCAGCAACAAAACTAACATACACACCTCAAAAAAAAAAATACCTTTTCTTCAGACCATGCATCCTAAGTTGGCAAGGAATGCCTCATGTTTGGATCCCTGAGGTTGGTTTGACTGCCTTGTAAACCTATGTAAGGTTGGGTGAGCTGGTACCCCGAATATCTTGCTGAAGGCATGAGAGTTGGTTGTCAGCCAGGGAGACCTCCGCATTGGAGCCAAATTCCTTCTGAATGGAGTAAGGATGCCTGTTTCAGCCTGGAGGTGAAGAATTTTGGCCCGATTAATCCCAGTGAATTCTCAGGATGCCTGGCAAGGACCCAGTGGTTTGTGGCATTCCCTCACTTAGGATGAAGTTTAGACGTCTTCAATGCACTGCCCCAGCTCGCGTGGTGAGCAGCCGGCGCAGGTGAACTGAAGACACACCTTGAAACCTTCTTGGACTGACAGCTGGCTTCTTCTTCGGGAGTGGATGTGATTCCTGAGAGTGGAAAAGCAGGCATTGACCTGTAGACTCGCAAGGCCTGTGAAGCATCTGCTCCAAGTCCCCTCTTTGTGCCCAGGAAGGCTCTTGTCCAGGGTCAAGCTGGCAGATTAGCTTGGACCATTTCCCCCTTTGTGTGACTTGGCAAAGAGAAAAATTGCCTGTTGGTTTTTAAGTGGCACATGTTAGCTTGTCCTGAAAAGAGGATCGCAGGGAGCCCCACGTGACTGAGCGAGGAGTCCTAAGAGAGCAAAGTTAAAGCCAGTCCTGGAACTCACAAGAGGAGCGCAGGGAGGGGAGCGCCCCACAGGGAGTGGGGTCCCCTCCGCGCCCATCACTGTATTTAACCTGTGGCGCCAATAAAGGGAGGGTCCTGAGCCGAGGGCCTGGGGGCAGCGTGTCCTGGGGCGGCTCAGGGTGGCCCACCCGGGTCTCCCTCCTGGCTAGGGGCCCCGGGTAGGGCTCGGAGGAGCACGGGGAGGAGGGAGGAAGATGCGCCAGCTGGCCGCCAAGGCGGAGGGGTGGGGAGCTGGGGGTGGGCCGCGCCTCCCACTCTGACCCATTCCACACCCGGCTGAAAGCAGACACTCACAGCTGATTCATTCCCCTTTCAGGAGCGGGGAGGCGGGGGAACAGTGACCTAGCCCCTTTCCTCTTCACAAAAACAAAAAAGCCAGGAGAGATCGCGGCCGCTGGGTGGGCGCTCCGCTCCCTGCCCGCGCCGGACCATGCGCTCGCGCGCGCCCGCAGGCGGGGACTTGATTTCGGGAGCCGAGAGCTGAAACTTTTTGGAGTTTTGGTCTCTCGCACAGCCGCACCATGCCATGTGCGCGGAGGAGCCGGCTGGCGGCGCTCGCTGTGGTGGCTCAGCTCCTGCATTGGGGGGCGCTCTGCCGTGGAAGACAGCCTCAGCCGCACCCAGGCCCCCCCGTTCGCTTCCCGGACCCCAGGCAAGGTTAGTGGCTTATGATGATGATGATGATGGTGATTGTTATTATTATTTTCTTTTAAAACAGTGGTGCAAAGACCTGAGGGACTTGATTGCTCCTTTTTCCTTCCCCCACTTGGCGGAAGGGAAGCCCCGCGAAGCATTTGGCTGCTGGGAGGGAAATCGAGGCTGGGGCTCACTTAGTACTAAGCTTGAGGTGAGTGAGGATGCCCGGATGGGCATAGAAAGGCGAGCGCCTGCTCCTTCCACGCAGTGAAATCTGCAGTCTTTGAGAGACTCAGCAACGAGCAGCCCCCCCCCCCCCCGCCCCCTCTCCCCCCTCCCTCTCTCTCTCTCTCTCCCTCTCTCCCTCTTTCTCTCCCTCTCTCTGTCTCTCTGTCTCTCTGTCTGTCTCTCTCTCTCTGTCTCTGTCTCTCTCTTCCTTTGCTTGTTTTTGTTTCAGCCTCTTTTTTTCTTCTTCAGATTCTGACATGGAAAATTATTTTTATTATAAAAGTTCCAGCTGACCACAGGCAATCATTGTAGCTTCTCCAGTTAGTTTAAAACTGTTCAGGGAAAGAGGAAATGTGGTTCCCTGCGCCCCCTGCCCCCTGCTGAGCACACTTGGCTGTGTTTGGGTTTCCTGGAAAGATTTAGGGGTGTGTGTGTGTGTGTTTTAAAACAACAGTCCTTTTGTGGGACACTTACCTCTTTCTCTTGTTCTCTGTCCTGCATAGCTAGTTACAGTTGGCTCTTTTTCTTTCTGAGTATTGTGAAAGCACAAAAAGTTTTCTGGTGAGAAGTCTATTAATTATTATTATTTAAGGTGAACAACCAAAAACTTTCCTGTTTGGTGTGCAGTAAATGGTGTGTGTGTGTGTGTGTGTGTGTGTGTGTGTGGTACATGGTGTGTGTGTGTGTGTGGTACATGGTATGTGTGTGTGTGGTACATGGTGTGTGTGTGGTACATGGTGTGTGTGTGTGTGTGTGGTACATGGTGTGTGTGTGTGTGTGTGGGGTACACGGTGTGTGTGTGTGGTACATGGTGTGTATGTGTGTGTGTGGTACATGGTGTGTATACCGCAGCATGCATGGTGTATGTGTGTGCATGGTGTGTGGGGTACATGGTGTGTGTGAAGTGCATGATGTGTGTGGAGTGCATAGTGTGTATGTGTGTGGATTATGGAGGGTGCATGGTGTGTGTGGGGGGTGGGGGTTGGAACAACCAGAATAGCACTAGTGGCTTGGGTCAGCCCACTCCCACACTTGCAACCTCCCTCTGGGTGCAGTTACCATTGCTACCATCCTTGCTTTACAGATGGGGTGGGCAGGGACTGATGCTTGGAGAGCTTGTAGCAATGGTGCAGCCAAGTTTTATATGGGACTCTTGAGACCATGCTCTTGAGACATTGTCAGGTAGCAATCTATTGCTAGTCTCTAATAGATCTCTCTGTCTGTCTCTCTGTTTCTCTCACACACATACATATGTACACATAGAGAGTTGAGTTAGAGTCCAGCAGGTCTTCTGCTTGCTGACTGTGTTTAGATCTCTGAAAGTGTCCTCCACAGCTTTCTGAAATCTCTTTAATTCCCAAGGCCACACTGGGCCACAAACCTCACCAGCTTGTTCATGTTTAGGTGATTGCTATTCAGAGTTTTCTGCCCACATTGCAAAGTTTAAATACTACTGGACAACTCCAGTGCTGTGACTTTGAGAACTATCAGATAGATACAAGTCCCTCCCTCCCCGGACTTTACTTGGAAGCCACAGCCTGCAAACACTGGGGTTAGATGTCAATCAGCCAGCACTGGCTTGTGTAAACCTTCCAGATACCATTTCCCACCCCCAAGTTTAAAATAGCAGTGCTGTTGTTCTTTCAAAAACAGTCCCTTTGTGAAAAATCTTTCTTCTGGGGACAGTGCGCATGTGCTCCAGCGTGCACGTATACACACACACACACACACACACACACACACACACAGCCTGCAAGCAACTCCCAGGGCACTCAGAGATGATTTAGTTCAAAGACACACATTCTTGGGTTGCATTTCAGTTAGGCTTGTTCCACGCCTTTGTAAGGGAATTCAGCCTGGTGGGGAACAAATACTGCTGGGCTCTGTTCCTTCCTCTCTGCAAAGTGAGATGTGCTTCTTCCCCTAGTCACCTTGACTGTTAGTTACCTGCTGAGATAATTGCAGGTTGAAAAATAGCTGTCATACCCCAAGCATATTAGTATTGTGTATATATTTAGGTTCAAAAGTAATGAAAATAATTTCAGGTTTTAAGGTTTTTCTGGACCAATTTAATCATTAATGAATTTGCAAGTAGTTCACTCTGTTCCAAGTAGAGATTTTTAGACTGACTCTCACTTTAAAGTAAGAAGATAGAGAGACACACACACACAGACAGAGACAGAAAAGCTAATGAGAAAAGGAAATAAGGAAATTCTTTTTTAAAAAAATCCTGGGAACTCCAGCAAACAAACAAACAAACAATCCTGGGAATAGGTGGTTGGCCTGAATGTTGCTTGTAAATGACCTTTCATTTCCACTTTGATAATATTTTTGAATTGCATCCGAATTCTGAACACTTAAATTTGCAAACCACTTAAAAAATCATCTCACTCATCCTTATTTTTACAGATGAGGAACGGGAGAAGATGGCTAGTCTGTCAGTCAATATGTATTCCTTGAATTCTTACTAAATGCTACCTCACCGTGAGATTGAAGGGAGTTTCACAGCATCTCATTGTTGGAAACAGAGCCACATACTAGCTAATCTCTCTTAGTGATGCCAGGATTTGAACTCAGGCTTACGCACCTGCTTGCTAGACAAGCACTCTACCACTTGTGTCACATACTCAGCCCTTTTTTGCTTCTAGGTATTTTTCAGGAAGGGTCTAGCATTTTTCCTTGGAGCTGGCTTTAGATCATGATCCTCCCACCAATGGTCTCTGGCCTGACTGGGATCACAGTCCTATGCCACCATGCCTGGCTTGTTGATTTTTAATGCAGTCTCCCTAACTTTTTGTCTTAGCTGGCCTCAAACTAAGATCCTCTTGATCTCTATAGCCACTATACTTAGCTAGAGTCAAGACTTTAGTTCTAGACAAATCTAATCTTATCTAGCACTGTAGGCAGACAGATTTGATTAGTTTCTGCTCAATATTTTTCCCACATGGCTAGTTGAGATGTGAAAATGTGCTATAACTTCTCCAAGGTTACTTGATTCACAAATATCAGAACAACAGGAAATACTTGGGTTGTGTACAACATACTATGTTCTGCAGCCAATTATATTTCTTTAGGTTTTAAAAATTTCTGTACAGATGATGCTTGACATATGATGTGGTTCATAAATCAGAAATATTGTTAAGTCAATACTGCATTTATTACATTATAGCTTAGCAATACAATTCACCATAGTGTATAGGCTGTTTCCCTTTGTCATCATGTAGCCCTGCTGCTACCACTTCTAATAAGAGAATTATACAAATATTACTAGCTTGGTAAAGAACTAAATTCAAAGTAATCTGTACTCCTTAGCCTATGTTGCATCCTTGTAAAGTTAAAAAAATAACAAAATCAATTTTGTTTGTAATAAGGTCTTCTGGGTTGAGTGTTGAGTACCAAGGTTGATAGGCCAATTCACCCTCTTGTGGCATATTTCACAATCTTGAAGGAGTCTACACAATTCTCCACAATTTGTCAACATGTTACTTTCTGTAATAGAAATACTGTTGCACAGTTACCACAACCTGTGGAATACATTATGAAAACAAGTTATCTGTTGCAGGAATGTTATTGCCCGTTTTAGTAAGGAGTCTTAGAGATGCAATTAGTCTTTCACTTCAACACAGGAATAAATAGAAAGAGGAAGTATAAATCAAAATCACTTTAACAGTATAGATACTAAAATCAGAGAGAACAGAAATAAACACTGCCATCGTGGAAGTATGACGCACACATTCATGATATGCTCCACAGTGAAGCAGACTCAATTGAAACTTTCTGAAAATGCAGAAAGATTCTCTTCTGCCTTGCTTTTTCCTCATAAGCAGAAGGTAGAATATATGAATATACTTGGTGTCTCCTATTTTGAGAATGGGCTTGAGAATATACTTGGTGTCCACAATATTTCTCAGGAAGTTTCTTCACTCAGAGTTTCAGTAATAAAACTTGTGGCCTCTGTTTTCAGGTCCTGATATTGGGGCTTGAACTCTGAACCTGAGCTCTGGAGCTTTTTTTGCTCAAGGTTGCACTTGGCTCCTTAAGCCACTTTAATATTTCCCATGTGTAGTTTTTGTTTACATATCTGCTGAAAGACTTTCTATTGTATGTGTTTTAGGTGCTTTCCATTCATAATAAATATTCCCCCATAAACTTGCTTTTTCTTATTCTTCATTGGGCTTTTAAAATGTATCCTCATGTTCTATGGTTAGCTGTTGCAGTGGGAAGAAACAGGTCTGGACTTAAAACATCTAAAATGGATACTGTTTATTAGTACCTGAGAATGGAAACTCTGGCTACTTCCCCATATTTTATCCAATGCTTGGAAGAAGGGTCCCATATATTATGTCTGAAGGCAGTGTACTGGGAGGAAAATAAAGCTGCTTTGTAATTGTATCCTCCTGTCTACTTCTTTTAATGAACCAACTACAAACATATGTACTGACACAACCGAGGCAGGTTAGCTATAGGGAAAGAATGTAAAACCAACCCTCTCTCCTAGTCACATCCTAGCAAACAATTCTCACAAGTCCTATCTGCCGTCCTAGTACAGTGCATAAGCCACCCCTCTCTGGAGGTAATTAGCGATCAGTGTGTAGTTACTAATGCTCCCTAGAGGTAGACAACCTGCAGAATAGTTCCTCACTGAACTAAAGCACCTGCACCGCAGAACCCCTGAGTCCTGATCCTGACATTTTCACAACAAATTCCTGCTTACAGTCTCATACTGATGCATTCATCTCATTCATATACATTAGAACCATGGGACGGCAACTATGTACATGCTCAGATCCTTTCCAAAAATCTACCAAGTCATTTCCCTCAGATCAGCCCACTATCATTACCATAAACTCTTCCCATATTCTCCAAATCCTAGAAAATGGAAATTTTCAACCATGTGTTTGTGCTTGAGCCTCCTAGCTCCAGAAGGCCATTTCCCTTAATAATGTACTTTCTTAGTCTCTCTGTCTCTCTGTCTGTCTCTTCCTTTCTCCTTTCCACTTTCTCTCGCCTTTATTTGTGTGTGTGTGTGTGTGTGTGTGTGTGTGTGTGTGTTCCAGTCTTGGTCCCAGATGTCCAGAATCTGGGTTCTTCCCCTTCTTAACCACCCACTAGTAACACATTAACACATATGAATTGAGACATTATAATGTTAAGGGTCTAGCTTCAAAAGATTCAAGGATAAACAAAAGACAATAGAAACCACCTTGGATATGTAAGGACAAAGAGGAAGAGATGTGAGTTAGATACTATTCTGTTCTCTCCTCCCTCTCTTGTCCTACCCCCATTCCTTTCCATTTTTCTTGTTATTATGTTTGCTTGTGATGTTTTAAATCATCCTGGACTTAAACTTTGCATCCTTCTGCCTCACACACTGGAGTGGCTAGGATTACAGTTGCATGCCACTATACTTGATTTTTTTGAGTTTGAGCTTTAAAACCTAAATGGGGTTTTGGTAGAATGCAAAAGACATTTTAGTTAGGAAAGTAATAGGAGCAAACTACTTCAAATTAGGAAGTACAAAGACACTGCTGGGAGGTGGCAAACAGATTGTTTTCCTCCCTCCCTCCCTCCCTCCCTCCCTCCCTCCCTCCCTCCCTCCCTCCCTCCCTCCCTCCCTTCCTCCCTCCCTCCCTCCCTTCCTTCCTTCCTTCCTTCCTTCCTTCCTTCCTTCCTTCCTTCCTTTCTTCTGAAGTAAAAGGTTAGTTTATGAAGTGGTTGATGGTTTGCTTTAGTCTATAATCTGGAGTGGATGACTAACTCTCTGCTAGTTAGATTCTTTGTTATTTGAAAACACTGAAATAAGGGGGTGGTGGTGGGGGGGCGTTAATTTTGGATGAGTCAGAAAGTATATTTATTCTTGTGTGTGGAAAGAACAAGTGTCCCTGTCTTGCATTTCTAAATGAAAAATTTCATATTTGGAGCCAATGCTGAGATCCCAATACGTTTCCTCACCATTTTACTTCCTTAGTATATTTTATAACCGTTAAGTCCCCAAGTTCCTTTGCATGCTCTTCCTGTCACCAGTGAGCACTGAGGCTGTCCCTGTGCGAGATCTCTCAAGGTGTCTAGGAGGGTTCACTGTGCCTTCAATATTTTCCTCTAAGCTGATTTAGCAGGAAGTTCCCAAGGCATGTAAAGCACCTTGTCATGAACTGTGAGGCTCTGTAAATTGTATCAGTAAACTCTGGATGTGCATTGTCCCTGTTCGGCCTGAGATCTTGCTCCTTTCCTAGCAGTGTTTCTCATGAATTTCTACTGCTCATCTTAAGCTGTCTGATAAAGTCATCTGATATCCAGAGTTCTACTTAAGCATTTGCTCTGACCACTGCACATCGTGTGTAAACCTGAATTGTTTGGTGGACTTCATGCCGACTGTATTTGCACCAGGGAAAGGCTCTCTAAGCTTCAGATAAACAGTAGGCTTTGCAATCAGCAAGCTAGAATCGAACTTGCCAGTGCAATTGGCTTTGCTATGCTATGCAGCCTTGGGGTCTCAGTTTTCTGTCTTCTTTTTCCCTCCCAGAGCATTTTATCAAGGCCCTGCCGGAGTACTACATGGTGGGACCTGCCCGTGTGGATGCCTATGGGGAGTTTCTATCCTATGGCTTGAACCATCCCATCTCCACCAGCAGGAGCAAGAGAGACGTGGATGGCTCCCAGGACCGAGTATACTATAAAATTGCACACGAGGAGAAGGACCTGATGTTTAACTTGACAGTCAATCGGAGATTCCTTTCCAATAGTTACATCGTGGAGAAGAGATATGGGAACCTGTCCCATGCTAAGATGGTGGCTGCTTCAGGGCCTCCCTGCCATCTGAGGGGTACAGTTCTTCAACAGGGCGTCACAGTTGGAACAGCAACTCTCAGTGCCTGCCACGGACTGGTGAGTGCTGGAGCAGGCATCTCTCCTCTGCCTTTAAAGTCTCTCCAGGCTTACATCTCAGCCTGTAGACCATCTGCTAAGAGGTTCCCATTAAGAGTCTGGATGCATGAGTATGGGTGTTTGGTGAATTATGTTACTCAGGGAATATTCACTACTATTATTCTTCCTTTAGTTTCTCATATGCCAGGTACTGGGTTATATGGTTTATGATGTGGATTATATACACTGTCCCACTCCCTGTACTCATTTTTAGCATTTGAAAATTTTGGGAAATAAAAAGAGAAAACCTGAATAACTATACTGTGCAAGGTAACTTGAGTCCAGATGTTTCTGCTATGATATGCTACATCTGATTGACCTGTACTTTAAAAATAAGTTTAGTTTGAGGCTGAGGGATGTGGCTCGGTGTTGGGAAAGTGTCTGTGGTGGAATGTGAAGTTAGCCAAGCCAAATTGCTAATGATGTTGGCATTCTCCCATTCATGAAGCACCTGTCCCCGGTACCCCTGTCACCACAGGCACTTTGCTGAAAACGTCTACCCTTCATAACTTAGGGCCCTGTTTTTCTTGGAGATGCATAATTTGGCTTTGCTTCAATACTGTGGGAAAACAAGGACACAGCATTGTAAAATTTTGTTCAACTTTCTGAAGGACCCAGGGATGAGTTTCTTCATACAACAGTTGTAAAGTTTTGTCTTTGCCTAGACACCTGGATTTCCAAATATAGCATAGTTCCCCTAATTAGATCACAAAGCCCACAGAATTAACCATGGGGCCTTCTTTCTCTCTTCTCTGGCCTCTGGCATGTGGGTTGAACTGGGGACACATCTCTCTGCTCTGCCTGGGTTTTCATCCTCTTGGTTCGTTCTGGCTTCACATTTCATCTTCTCTCTCTAATCTAAGTGCTCTCATTTCCAAAAGACTACCTGGAAGTAACATTTCCACCTACCTTTTGAGACCAGGGGAGCAGGAGAAAGCACCTGTGATCCCAAAGAAAGGACAGGCACAGGGAATGATGTGAATCCTGATGTGCAGTGAGCACTGTCTACACTGAGCAGGTGTTCATTAGGGGCATGAGCTTCTGTTACTCTAGCCACCATTGAGAGGGAAGAACATCTGCGTTAAATGGCTTCCTACATTCATCTGGGGCTTTGTAAGGGAATTTGCACATGGTTAAGAATTATTCCAGGTGTGGGAATAGAATACCTGGATCTTTTTAGATTCCAGGTGGAAGGAAGTGAATGCCATCATGTGGACATTTGCAGATTCAACTTCAGATAGAGTGGTTGCCAAAAAGATGGAAATTTTTTTTAGTACGAATTCAGAATCATCTTGTCAGAAACACTTGATTGGAATTATGTTGGAGCCTTTCATATACAATATGACAATCAAAAGATGGCTGTTTAAAAAAAAGGCACCAAAAGCCAAATGATCTTCTTTCTGTTAGCATGTCACTTGATTGGTTCTAAGCTCATTCACTAATATGCTAAAATTTTGTCAGTGCTCACCTAGCATGGTCTTAGTCAAATGAATAATGGGTAGACTTGTGTCTGTCTTTGCTTGACCACATATATGAGGTCTGACCTCCAGTATATTTGTTCCTTTTTTATCCTGAAACAACCCCATGCCAAGATTCATAGAATAACAGGAAGGCTGTAAGCCTTCCAGGGGTAGAGTTAGCAACTGAAAATATTTATTTTCTTTTTTTTCGGTTGTGGGGCTTGAACTCTGGGCCTGGGCACTGTCCCTGAGCTCCTCAGCTCAAGACTAGTGCTCAACCACTTGAATCACAGTGCCACTTCTAGTTTTCTGAGTGATTTATTGGAGATAAGAGGCTCATGGCCATTCCTGTCTGGGCTGGCTTTGAACCATGATCTTCAGATCTCAGCTTCCTGAGTAGCTAGGATTATAGGAGTGAGCCACCATGCGTTGCTTGTAAACGTTTCTTATGTAGGGAACACTTACATGATAACCAGAGCATCTGCTATCATCATTCCTGAGATTCAGGGCTGGTATAATCTTTGCTTTCGATTTGTCATTTCAGTGTGATATTGGAGGCCATATTCTCTTAGAGGTGTTTGTAATTTGGAGCTCCTTTAGTCTTCCCTGGACTAGACATAGATGGTTTCAAGCTGAAGACCCTAGAAAAGTCATTTATTGGAAGCTGTGGGATAACCTTATACATTCTCTCATACAGCTCTGGATGAGCTGAGACTGAATGAGCCTATGTCCCTGCTTAACATCTCTCAGCCATCATCTCTATCATCTTCAGCATTCTTCTTCCAAAAGAACTTTCATAGCTTTGAAATGATGGGACTTCTTTCTCTTGAGCAGTTTAGTGGATTTGGTCCATGCTAAGTTGTTTGATGGAGGAACTGTTCTTTAACCAGTTATACTCTGAGTTTGGCTTCAGCAAGGGTGAAAGTCCTGGTGGAGGTAATTTTGAGTTTTTTTGCTAGCAAGGGCTCTAAAGGATTGATTCCAAATGAGTGGTGTTTCAGTTTATTTCTCTGCATGGGAAGAGAGTGTAAAATAAAGGTATGTTGTTAAACTCTACACTCATGCCAGACACAGAATTGAGTTTGTGAGTTTTATGGGATACTCTACTTCTACCAATGCTTTCTATTTTCACTTTTTGGGCCTGTACCTGGGTGAGTAAACAGACACACACACACACACACACACACACACACACACAAACACACACACACATCCTATCTATAGTAAAGGCATTGTTTAGTTATTGTTCAAAGCATTTCTGAGTTATGCCTCTATTAAAATGAACATGTGAATACCATCTTTGTTTCAATCATAAACCCTGGCCTTTATTCAAGCCCTTGTTGGGGAACTAAATCTTGATTCCTCATCTGAAGTGATTCTGGCTCTCTCCTAGGACATCCAGCGTCAGCTTCCACTCCATTCTTGCCTTAAGGTTTCCTTTCTCTTTTGTCACCTTGAAATTTATTGTTTCCACTCTATGTAGACTAAACATTTGAATGAGACATTTTCTTTTTGTAAAACTTTAAATTTTCAGGGTAGTCGCAAGCACTACCACAGGAAGATTTCAGTATCTTTTACCTAGTTTCCTTCAATGGTCATATCTTGCAAAATCACTATACAATATCACAGCCAGGATTTCAACATTGACACGGTCAAAATGTCAAATACTTACATCACAAGAATTCCCTCATGTCCTTTCTAACCCGTGCTCATTTATCTCCAGCCCCATGATTTTCCCATATTTAGTTATAATCCCTTTTTTAGTTAACTTTTGTATGAAATGTGAGACTTTGGTGGTTCTTTTTTCTTTTCCTTCTTTAACCTTCTTCCTATCCCCCTTCCCTTCCTCTATTTATCAACCCCCATCTAAAAAATTACCTATGGATATCTAAAATGCTCCAGAACTATTTGTTTAAAGGCCATCTTTTTTCATTAAATGTCTTTTAATTTTTTTGCAAAATTCACTTGGATATATTTCTGAGTTTTAGGTTCTGTTTTACCAATAAAGTAAGTCTTTATTGCAGTGGCAATAATCTAGTAGACTGATTTCTCTCATTTCTTTCAAATGTATTTGAGTGATTTGAATTTCCAAATAGCCAAAACAATCCTTAGCAGGAAAAACGGTGCTGGAGGAATAGGAATACCAAACTTGAAACTCTATTATAAAGCTCTAGTTATAAAAAAACAGCTTGGTACTGGCACATGAACAGGCCTGAAGACCAGTGGAATAGAATTGAAGACCCAGAAATGATCCCACAGACCTAGGGCCACCTCATCTTTGATAAGGGAGCCAAAATGATCAGATGGAAGAAAGACAGCCTCGTCAACAAATGCTGCTGGCAGAATTGGCTATACATGTAGAAAACTGAAGTTAGATACTTGTATATCACCCTGCACCAGACTCAACTCCAAATGATCAAAGACCTTGAGGTAAGAGCAGACACCCTGGAAATATTACAGAAAGGGATAGGGGGTACACTGGGCTCCTTGACACAGGTTGAAACTTCCTAAATTAAGATCCAGAAGCACAACAAATCAAAGAAAGGCTGGATAAATGAGGTTGCATTAAACTGCAGAGTTTCTGCATGACAAAGGACATAGGGAACAAGATAAATAGAAAGACTGGAAGAAGATCTTCACTAGCTGTATAACAGACAAGGGCCCCATTTCAATAGAAATTGAGACTATCAAGGTTGGGAAGGTAACTCAATGGTAGAATGCTTGCCTTGCATGCATGAGGCCCTGGGTTCGATTCCTCAGCACCACATAAGCAGAAAAAGCCAGAAGTGGTGCTCTGGCTCAAGTGGTAGAGTGCTAGCCTTGAGCTGAATTGCTGAGGGACAGCGCCCAGGCCCAGACTTCAGGCCCCACAACTGACCAAAAAAAAAAAAGAAAAGAAAAGAAAAATTGAGACTATCATTTACAAAGAAAAAAAAACTTGTTTATATTTTTATGGTAATTCTATTAAACCTATTAATGTACATGGGGGAACTGTCATCTAGCTATGTTGACTTTTCCAGTCTGTAAACAGTGTTTACATCTCAATTTATTTAGCTCTTTATTATTTCTTTCATCAGTGCTCTGGAGTTTTAGAATATTAGTTTTATGTATGTTTTACCTACAGATGATTTAAAGTACATGGAGGGAATGTACATGAGTTATATGCAAATACTATACCATTTTATATAAAGGATTTGGGCATCTGTGGATTATAGTATCTCTGTGTGTGTGTGTGTGTGTGTGTGTGTGTGTGTGTGTGTGTGTGTGTGTGTGTGTGTGTGTGTGTGTGTGTGTGTGTATGTTGGGGGAGTCTGCCATCTATTTTCTTTGGACACCAAAAATGACTCTGTAAGTCTCTCATGCTTTCTACTCATCTATGGACATCTATCTATATTGACTATAAATATTTAAAATCCTGTGGATATGTACCTCAGAAATAGAATTGATGAATCATATAGTAATTCTACTTGTAGTTTCTGAGGAATACCCTGTTGTTTTCCA